TCGACGCGAACAATTTTCATTTCGCATAAAACTCCGCTGACGAATTTTTAAATCAGAGCAAATAACTCAGAGCGACGCGGCAGTCAAAGCGTTAAATCGATGCAGAATTCTGCTCTTCTATCGTCAATATTTTCATACTTGGCACACGATAAATACAAATTCTCTTTCTCGTACAAGAATTTATCAACGCCAAAAAAAAAGATGGTAATCAAAGTACAGTAATGTCTCCCTAACTCACGCTCAGGTTGTGCACAAAAATGGACGATTTGGGAAGAAGAGAGCCTTGCGGCTCGTTATTATAATTGTTGACAATTCGTGATTATAAAAATTAACTGCAAGGCTCGAATAATCGTATCTCCTCTTCCCAAATTGTCCATTTCTGTGGACAATTTAGGCGTTAATTAGAGAGACATTACTGTACCAGCGAAAGCAACGAAGCAACCGTGACGCAAGGGGTTAACGCGTTGAAATCAATTTTACCTGCGAACAGGTAAAATTGTTATGACGACCTGGTAGCTCGCTAAGTCAGAAAATCGTGTCGCGAGACAGAACAACAGGATCCACGAGGACACGGAAGTTCGGAAGTTTACGCGAGCCGGTGGCGAGATGGAATCACGGGATCCTTCTGTCACCGGTTCTGTTTGCGTTGGCGAGTGCCGTGCGAATTTTTGCAGGCGACTGCACACCCTTCGATCGGTCGGCTTCAAGTTTGGTGACGCGCTCGAAACGCGCGGCCACATTCCTGCAGACGGCAATCCTTCCGGGACAAGAAAGTTTCGCGACCTTTCGGCGCTCGGCAGCCGAAATAACCACGGTTCCTTCCAAGGGGCAACTTGTCGACCTCCGAGATCCCGGGCAAGTTCGCCGGAACACGGCGGAGAACTGTTCGCGAGAATTCCGGGCAGAATTCGAGGAGAGAATTCGACGCGGAAGCCGGACCGAGTCTTAAGAAGCCAGCGTTCGAATCGTGCTTCGAGCAGATCGAAGGAGAACGGCGGCCGTTCCGCGTGTCGCTTCGCGGAAACATTTCAAGAACTCCGCGCGTTTCGCCCTTAAAGGAGATACTCGACGCCAGGCTGTCGGCGAACTCCGAGGAATCGACGATTTCTATGGAGTTTCTCGCGAAACTCGCGGTCTGCCGGGCTCGAGTCGAGGCACAAAGTATCTAACCGTTCTGTCAAAGGATTCTATGCGCATTTCCGTTCGCTTAGCCAATCACAGAGATATTTCCTACGTTGATCGCTTTGATCCTGCGGCGTGGCTCCCAGCGGAAAGAAAGATTTCCATCGTCCCGGGGCAAAATGGCGGACGGCCAACCATTGGTGGAACACGCGTCATTGCATATTTATTGGGGTCGACCCAACAAAAAGGATTCGCGATATATGTCTGCCAGCAAATAAACGAATAAATATATTCGCTATCGTTCCTCTGGTTCCTCGAAAAAACGATTCCCCCGACGACCGAAGGGGAGAATCGCTCATCCCCAAAGTCGATTAGGATTCCTTTCGACGGCGACAGGACTGCTCGCGTTGCCGCGTAACCTTCCGTGGAAAAAACTGGAGAACCGGAAGGGGTGGATCCTCGGTTTCCTTTTTCCGCGTCTCCCGCGCTGAATACGGACGCGCGGCGAATGCCGAGAGTTTTTCGGCCGACAATAAGAACCATCCGGCGAGGAATCGGTCCTCGAACCTGAACAATTCCCGCAAATCCCCCGTTTCTTCCGGATTAATTCAGCGACGCGTTTTTCCCGGATTTCTCCGCGGTTCCGATGTCGCGCCGATCGTCGCTCGCCGACGACTCCTGTTTTCTTTGGGCCGCCATCGATCAAAATCGCGCGCGGAATTCTCAAGGCGGAGGCGGCACCGTGCAGGAACATCGGAGAATTTTCAATTTTCTCGGGGCTCCGAGCTCTTTCATATTAGAAGGCAATTTCTGCCGACGGTCCCGCGGCGCGCACTGTCGCGCGTTTTAAATTCGATCTCCGATCGCGCGACGCGCTGCGCGAACCGCTCGCGTTATTAGCTCGCAACTCTCCCGTAATTAACTGTCCGTTCGTTTGTTTTCGCTGCGCCGGCGGACGGTCGAGCCGGCCACAATAGTTGGCCGAGAAAAATGGCCGGAATGATTTCCTTGTGTCGAACGAAGCGAAATGGTTCGCTGAAAAAGCCGCGACCGGAAAGCGATCGGGAACGCGCGAGCGCGCGCGTGCGCGAGGCACGCGTGAAAAATACGAACGCGTCGCAACGGCCGCGCTGGAATCTCGATCGCGCTGTTCTTTGTCGCTGAATCTTTCTCCTCGGATCCTCGGGAACCAGTATTTTCGCCGCGATCGCGACGGGAATCGGCGGTCGCATCGAAACGCGACGATTCGTTTGCGTAACGCCGATCGATCTTCCCGTTAAAAATGTTCCTCCTTTTGTTTCCAAACGAGATGGTAATTTCGGCTTTTGTGTGACCACCGGCTCGACGAAAATTGAATTTCACAGCGGAAGTCCGATCGTTTTACGATCGCCGAACGGCCGAAACGAGACACCGTCGTCTCTTCGTCGATTCTCCGACGATCGTGACGAAGCAAACGCCCGTATCCGGTCGATCTCGCGCCCGAAAACCCATCGACGTGTCGAGCGAGGCTTTTTTTTGTTCGGAAGGGAACTCGGGTTTCCTCGCGATCCCCGGGGAGACGAGGTTTCCTTTTTTTTTTCATCGAATTAATTGCGGCTGCGTCGCCGAGCACGCAAAAAAAGGACCTCGATGGAAATCGAACGGGAATGCTGGCCGGGTGCCCATCTTAGCAATTAATTTCTATTGTGCGAGAGGCGCCGCGGCGAGGACTCGCGGATTCGTACAAAGAGACCAGCCGGAGAAAGGAAACGGTGGGACGGGACGGCGCGCTGTCGCGACGCGACGGTTCGCTCGTCTCCATTGTTTCGATTTTAGGAAATCGAACTCGAAGGAATACGGGATATATTTCTGATAAAGCAATTAGAAGAAGAGCTGGCCACATAAACTGCAATGCGTCTCGCGGCTTTCCAATTTTTCGATCAATATTTCTATTGGCAGGAATCGGCGCACATAAATCGGAAACGTTAGTTCCACGTTGCACATCGGTTAGAGAGTATTGTTCCATTGTTTCGACACGCTATCATCGTTATCTTCGCTCTAAACTCGAAAGTGTACGGCCATTTCTCCGCGCGGCATATCGTAAGCAGAATCGTATTGTGCCCCGTTATGATCGAACTGGGGATTTGTATGCAGAATCGAAACCGTCTGCTTCTGTCAGGCACCCTTCTTTGCTTAATTACTTTAACAAGTTGAAAATGGTATATCAATATCATTCGTTTATTCTTTTAATTCGGTATTATTAATTGCACTGCCGTTTTAAATTTCACCTGCAAATTTCTGTCGTAAACGCATCAAATGCATAGTTCAGTTATGATAGCAACTAGACTGCGGATTTGTTTGCAAAATCGAAACTGTCTGCTTCTATCGAACACTCAATTCTTTGCTTAATTACTTTAACAAGTTGAAAATAGTATATCGATACCATTCGTTTATTCTTTTAATTCGGTATTATTAATTGTACTGCCGTTTTAAATTTCACCTGCAAATTTTTGTCATAAACGCATCAAATGCATAGTTTAGTTATGATAGCAACTAGACTACGGATTTGTTTGCGAAATCGAAACTGTCTGCTTCTATCGAACACTCAATTCTTTGCTTAATTACTTTAACAAGTTGAAAATGGTATATCAATATCATTCGTTTATTCTTTTAATTCGGTATTATTAATTGTACTGCCGTTTTAAATTTCACCTGCAAATTTTTGTCATAAACGCATCAAATGCATAGTTTAGTTATGATAGCAACTAGACTACGGATTTGTTTGCAAAATCGAAACTGTCTGCTTCTATCGAACACTCAATTCTTTGCTTAATTACTTTAACAAGTTGAAAATAGTATATCGATACCATTCGTTTATTCTTTTAATTCGGTATTATTAATTGTACTGCCGTTTTAAATTTCACCTGCAAATTTTTGTCATAAACGCATCAAATGCATAGTTTAGTTATGATAGCAACTAGACTACGGATTTGTTTGCGAAATCGAAACTGTCTGCTTCTATCGAACACTCAATTCTTTGCTTAATTACTTTAACAAGTTGAAAATGGTATATTGATACCATTCGTTTATTCTTTTAATTCGGTATTATTAATTGCACTGTCGTTTTAAATTTCATCTACAAATTTTTGTCATAAATGCATAGTTCAGTTATGATAGCAACTAAACTGCGGATTTTTTATGCAAAATAAAAATTGTCTGCACTAAGATATTTATGTCGTTTCTTGTTCATTTTAACAAGTTGAAAACGGCTCGGCAGTATTTTTATGCTTCTCAAATGTTTCTACTGTTTTGCATTTGATCGCCTCGTTTTTGTTATAAACGCATAAAATCCACAGTCCGATCATGACTATTCGTACCTGTTTTCTCGTTTTAAGCCACTTTCTCTCTTCAGAATACTTTTCGATTTATTCTTTGCTTTCAAAGTTTCAAACGGTTTCCACAGGCGCCTGGATATGTCATCAAACTTCTATTTAAATACATCCCTGACCTCGCTGTGACAGCATCTAATGCTTCGACTAGAATTCCGTAGAACCGATTATGGTCATTTCAACAGCCACGACGGACGGAATGTACCTCTGAATGTAAACAGACTCGGCGGAACTCTAAATTTCTTCGCTTCTCCTCTTTACATTTCGAGGCAATGTTATACGAAATCTTTATCTCGTCGTACCAAACGGTTCAACCGGTTTACGAATAAATAAGTAAATAAATAAATACATATAAATAAATACACGAATACACGAATAAACAAGAATACGTTTCCGTCCATAACTAATAAGAACTCGCGACGTGTAACAGGCAACGTCGGACAAACTTTCCGTTCGCCTGAATCGACGAAAGAAAAAAGGAGAAAGAAAAAGAACGATCTCGTGTCGCACCTTTCGGTTTCGAAAGCTTTCTCCGATCCTCCGAGTGCGCGTCTTCTCGCAGAAGCCGCCGGGAATGTTGTCGAACGAGCGTCTCACTGTGAACTTTCCCAAGTTTGTTCGCCTCTGTTCGCACGGTTGCTACAAGATCGGCGACGATCGTCGGATGATCACCGCGACCGCGGTGCCCGTCGCGGACGATTCGCCCGATTCCTCGGCTAAGTTCGTCGGATCTTGGATCATGGTTGCGCGTCGCGGCGGAATGCGTCCATCTGCGGCGCGGCCGCTTTATTGGCACCTGGAGGTGTTATTTCTTGAATTACATCGGTAGCACTTGGCCGCGGGACGATCTTGACTGAGGCCGATCGTCGTCGTCGTCGTCGTCGTCGGCTGGTTTTAGCCCCGGGAAACTCGATCGCGGACGCGAAACGATCCGCGGAATCGCGATCACTCGCGGCAACCGGTTCACTTTTTTCGACGGTTCCTCCGCGGCTCGCAAGCGGGTCCCGCGATCCGGGTCCGGTCGGCTTCACCTGGCGCGTTTCTCGTTCGAAGCGACAAGGTGTACGCGCGTCATCGGAGCGCTTGCAGCGCACTGACTGCTCCAAAGAACAGAATCATCGGTGTACAAGAGCACTCGCCGAGGAGCGACGAGTGACCCTGGCAGTGGATGCCGCCTGCGCGCGAGCGTTCTCTCTCTCTATCTCTCTGCCTCTCTCTATCCTCTTTCTCTCTCTCTTTTTCTCCCGTTCTCCACGCTCTCGCCACCGTTCTCGCGTTCGCTCTATCCTCCCGCGCTCCCTCTTTTCTTCCTTTCTTTCTTCCGTCCACCCATGGCCCCCTCCCGTTTCCCCCCTCCGCCCCCCGAATTTTACGTCATTCCGCGTTCTTCGCGCGCCTCCGTCGCCGATACCTGTAGCCTCGTCTCGTCGTCTCTTTCGACCGTTTATTCTCTCTCGCCGCTTTGTCCTCCCGTACGCGCGCGTCTTGCACCCTCGTCCATCGTCCCACCCGTTCCTTCGGTTACTTTTGGCCCGTCTTCCCCGCGGTCCCGCTCCCCCCTTCGCCGCCTCCTATCAGGGTCACCAAGATCATGGCGATCGCGAAGTCAATCTCCATTCCGATAGGTTTCGAACACGGTGTGTGTTTCCGTAATCCGGTGTCGTAAAAGTTGAACGCTCCTCTGCTGTCCGTGTAACGACCGTGTTTGTTACGCAAGTTTAGAATAACGTGCCAGTCGAAGGAGAGCCCACTTCGAACCCTTTGCACTCGAGCGGTGACTCTGAGGCACCACTGAAAAATTGTTACATCGCGTTCCAAGATAATTTTTATATTGTCAAAGTTTAGATGTAAAACATTATTAAGAGTCTAATCGTTGTATGGGTCGCAAGACTAAATTTCACGTGCATAAAATGCACTTTGTCACGTAAAATGAAAATACCATAAGTCAAAAAAATTGATTCAGATTTACAGTTAGAATGGCTTCGAGTGCAAAGGGTTAATCCCGCACCGTTTGCTTCGCGCTAGGAGACTAGATAGAACGATTTCGATGCTATTCGCTTTTCTAGAAGCAGATTTATGTTTATCGCGTGCCTAGTTTTACTCGAATGCTTAAACCTTGTTGACAACGGAACGGAATTCGATGCCCGACTTGAAAGAACGGAGCGACGTTCACAATTGACAAGTTGTTGCTGGAAGTTAGTTGTTCGAGGAAGTACGACAACGGGTTAACCCTTATCACTGTAACTTTTTAATGGAACATTAATTGGTTCGGATTCGGCTTACTTGAATCTTCTCTCTCTCTCTCTCTCTCTCTCTCTCTCGATTTCCTGCCGTGCCACTTTCTTCGAAGTTAGGATGGTTAGAACGTTCTTGATTTTAAACATTTCTTTGAAGGAGAAGATAATTCATTTACTTATTCATTCATTTATTTATTTATTTATTTATTTATTCTTCTACGAGAGTAACCAATTAATAAATACTGCTGATAAAGATTATAGCATAAAATGCAAGGACTACTTAAAAATGCTGTAACTTCGCGAGAAAAAATCGCAGCCGAGTTTCTTTTTTTATAAATTAAAGAGGAATGATTGAACCTCATTCTGCTGCAAATGGCAACTCCGAGAAAAATTTTGCAAAGTCCGCGCATTTCGTCAAACTTGGCAATTTTCAATATGACAAACATGGCCTCACATTTTAGGGGTTACAGTGATGAGGGTGCGTTAAACTGAAAATCCAGAAATATTGTCTCGAAGTAGAAGTTTCAAGCTTCCATTTGAGAAAAAGATCATCGTCCTACGATGAATTTTCGCGGAGTTGTCGTCAGTCAAATTTGGCCAATTTTTATCAAAAATTTGTCTATGTGATAATTTTTCTGAACAGCGTACAAGGAATTAAATTTGGCTATAGTGAATGCTGCTCGTTAGGTAGAAAATATATCATTAAGATTTCAACTGCCGCGTCACCCATACGTAGCTCAATTAATTAGAAATGCAGTTCAATTAATTAAAAATGCAATTCGTGTCACATACCTTGACTTTTCATTTTTCATTTGACTAAATAAAATACATCGATTGCATGAAGAAAGTTTTGCGAGTTTTTAACGCGGCAGTCAAAGTGTTAAAAATGTTCCCTCGTATCGCGCTCGAATGAAAGAGTTGAAGACGCGAGAAAAATATTCATCGCGAGCCTTCTTTTGCTTGAACGCTTAAATACCGACCACAAGAGAACGCGATTTTCTTTCGACTTAAAAGAACGGAATAATGTTCGTACTTACGTGTCAGGCTCGTGAAAATATGGCAAAGGGTTGAGGAAGGGTTCATCTTTTCGCGCACTTTTAGGAAGCCGCATAGTCGTTCGTAATAATCGCCACTGTTGCAACGAGGAAGAATGGGAAAAGTATGCGTTGCTGTTTTGCTTCGCCAGAGTCGACCGCTTCATCTGCCCGGCGCACCACCGAATCCTGCAAAACCAGCATTAAAGAATGATATCATAACTTTCGTCGACATTCTTCTGACAAAAGAATGTACCGTCCTTCCATTTTCCCCTGTGACTTCAAGACAAAAGATATCTGCGGGTTCTACGAGGATCTTTCAGAGCCAAAGCAAATTTCCGAGGCACTTTTGTCCAACTGAGCTGCGCGCGTTTCTCTCTCTCTCTCTCTCTCTCTCTCTCTTCTTGCTTTCGCTCGATTCTCCCTCTCGTGGTTGGCTTTCATTCATACGTTTAGGCAGGTCGCGTGGCCAGGGATACCGCGGCTCTCCGCATACTTGCAGCCGACTGCGATGCTATGTAGCCGCCACTTGACCCAGCCGCATTGATTTTCCGTTTATTAATTGCGACCCGTCTTCGTTCCGCTTCGCGCGACCTACGAGAAGATGCGGAGAGAGAGTCTGCTCGCAGCAAGAGGAGAGCGAAGCCTTCGCGAGCCTTGGATCTCGAGATTAAGAGAGCGATCTCGCCAGCGATAAATAAAGAGGAACCCGTCCCTCAACGATCCGTCGGGGATAACGGTCAATAAAGGTGAAAAGTTAACGCGTCGAGTAAAACAGTTTATTAAGCGATAAAGAAAAAGGCGCGGATAAAACTCTCGAGAGAGATACGCACCCTCGATTATCCGACCGAGATAATCGATCTTTCCCCGCGAACACTTGTCGCTCGACGGAGCCTTTATTTATCCACAGCGGCAAAGAGATCTTGTAATAACGCTGCCGTACACGCACCTGTCTTCATTTTTCATCGTCGGAATTGTTCTCGCCCGCTGTCCGCCGCGTTTTCTTCACCCAGGTTCTATCGGGTTCTCCAGGTTGCACGGTGCTTGGCAAAAGGAACAAGACGCTCGACGTGTTTCGCAATTGTTTGTATTCAAATGAAAGAGCGATGGTACAACCTTTTAAGCGTTGTACAAGAAGAGAAAATTTCAGAAGGAAAAGAAATGACAAAAATTAGACGACATTGGCTGGAGAAAAGTGGAAGACTATGAATGAAAATTATTCGTAAGAATAGGAGACAGTATAGCATCAACGAGTTGTGATGGAAAGTATCAAACATAACTGGGACGATTTTTAGGGGAAATTAATAAATCATGTACAACGTGATACGACGAAAAACGATTGACGAATTTAATACAAAAATTAGAGAAGATATGACAAAGTATTTATTTTATATTTTACTTATGTCGTTATATTATGTTATATTTATTTGTGTCAATCATAAAATATTTTCATTTCATTGCATTTCTTATTTTGATACAAGTCAATGTTTCTCTGAAAGTCATTTTTCTTAGGTATGATCAATGCATCTTCGCATTGACGTAGCAGTTATTCAAATTCTAAATCATTTCATATTTAATTGCAGTTCTTATTTTACTGTAAATTTCGTTGCAGTTTTTATTTTCTATATAATTATATAATATTATAATATTATTTTATTAATATATCATTTATTATATTTATTACATCATATTACTATACTATTATTATTATTTTACTAATATATCATTTATTAGATTTATTATATTATATTACTATACTATTATTATTATTTTACTAATATATCATTTATTAGATTTATTATATTATATATTACTATACTATTATTATTATTATTATTTTATTGTTTTCATTTTCTAATTATAATATTAATATTCTGAAAAATATTATAAAGAGATTATATTCGAACGGTGTCCACAGATATTTTTCTCCGGACTGTAGCACGCGATACATACATGCACAAACGTTTCTTCCAGTGTACAAACATAAACAATTACGAAATACATCAAGCGTCTCATCCTATCGTCGAGCGTCGTCTCAGATCGGCTCTCGTTTTTTTCATATTTGCGCGGACAGCTCCGGCGATCTGCTGCAGCCGTTCGAGGCACAGCTCTCCCGATTGTCGCATTAATCTGGTCGGGCATTAAACGTCACAACGACGTTTGTCCGAAAACAGGTGGGAAGATTAACGGCGTAGCGGGACCGACGCACTGTGCACAGCTTCGCGCCGCGCTGCTCCACGGCGTTTCGCAGCAGTAGCAGCAGCGGCGACGCGCCGTATCGGGTCCCGTGGAGCGTACTGAATTAATTATAGTATCGTGATTCCGGGATCAGGCAAAGCCCGGAGTAAACTCGTTCTATGCCCGACATTCGGGCATCAAGATCATCCGACGGCCAGGGCAATCTCCGTCGGATGAAAGGACCGCCTACACTGTGACGTCTGTCCCGTGGCAGCCGTTTCCACTTTACGTAGATGCCTCTCTTCTTCGCTGTGTCAATGTTTGCACGGGCCGAGAGATGCTTCTTGGATCGTGTCGCCGTAGATATTGGAAAACTGTTGCTTCCGACACGGCCGACAAAGCAAAAATTTTCCGTTCGAATAATAAGTACACGCCGGCCGGAGATATCGTCGATCGCACCAATTGCATAGCAATTTCAATTGAGCTCGGCCCGGCCGCGTTTTTTGCACAATGGTACTCGCAGTTATTGGTTAACGGGTTCAAAAACAAATGTACGCTGCTACTTTCGGGTGTAAAGGTGTTTTTATCAGACGATGCGCGAAGCGAGTCTTGTTTACTGAGTTAATCGTCAGTAACGATTGACTTTGGAACACCGGAAGGTAAATTTCGGCCCCCTTGA